CCTGAGAGCTGAAACTAGTGAGACAGCATGTGTGTGTGCAGTGAATGTGGCCTATCAGCTCTTGTTCTTTACCCACATGTTGGTTACACCCATCCTCCTCAGTGTGGATCTGAAAGGGAGGAAACAGGAAATACAGAGTGGAGCTGGCTTTGTCTGAGAGCAGGAAGAAGAGGAAGGGCTTATCAAACTCTGACTCATTCCAGGAGGAGGAGCAGCGCTCAGACTCTGACCTACACGGAGCCTCGGTTACAACCTGTTCTTCATTTGAAAAGAGCTTTTAGTTGTAAAATAAGTTGGTAAACTTACAAAATCTGAAGGGGGTTAAATACTTGCTTCCTCCACTGTAAATGTATAGCCTCAATGTCCTGAAATAGCTGATTGATTTTATAGTTGAATGTACAGTAAGTCGTTTTTACTGTAAGTAGTAGTAGTAATGTGTGTGTGTGTGTGTGTGTGTGTGTGTGTGTGTGGGGGGGGGGGGGGGGGGGGCTTTTATATAGAACAAACTCCTTATCCTGTGCATTCACACTAAATATGAACCTGAAAACTATGTCCTCTTTAATTGACACCAAAATGATGATTTGTGGTTGAAACCTTTTAAATATTTTCTTCTTACCCTCCAACAGATGTGTCTCAATGGAGAAGAAGAAACCTCAGATTCCTTAGAGTCCATCGAGGTGAGTTCCTCCGAGGAGACCCCCCGCATCACAGAAACACCCCTACCTAACGTGATCCAGGAGACTGAACCTCCTTCCTCACTCCCTTCCTCATCTCCTTCCCTCCTCTCCTCTCAGAGGACCCTCAGAGCTCCACAGACCCCCTCCCTCTCCTCCCTGAAGACCCAGCAAACACTGCTCTGTTTGTGGACGTTTCTCCGAGCGCTGACCTCCTGAACATCCTTCCACATGTGGACGCCTCCCCCTCCCCCCTCCAGAGTTTCCTCACCCTTTCTCCACAGCAGCCCCCACCCTAAAGATCCCTCTAAGCACCGCCCTCACCGGGGTCCCTGTTTGCGTCACGTTCCAGTTCTACACCCCCGAACCAGAACCAGAACCCAGAGGAGACAGCAAGTGATCCAAAGAGACTAAATGAAATGTGTTGGCCGTGCTGCTTTCTGACAGAGGATCTGTGAGGGTCTGAACGTAATCTGATTTTAAATAAAATACATAATTGCGGTCTGGTTATTATGTACTTTATAACTCTATGATCTTTATTTTCCATTTCATTGTATTTTTGAATTACTTTTTTTATTGTTTTGATCTATTTTTCATCAATTGCTCGTCAAACCCTTGGAAGTGTATCAGAGGAGCTCTGAAAGGTGCTATATCATTGTTTTAAATGGTCATAATTGTATCGTTATTTGTACTTTACTTCCTTTATTCTACCTAATTCTATTATTAAGATTGAATCATTTATTTAATCATAATTTTTTATTCACTGCATTTTCACTTAAATGTTGTTTATTATGATTTTCATTAGTTTTATTTTCAACATTTTACCACTTTTTAACATCCTCATGTTTGCCAATTGGTGTTTTTAATAACAAATGTATGTTGTATGTCAGATGTAAAAAGATAGTCTTTTATATTTGTCATATCAAATTTGACATACAACGTAAATATATTGTATGTAGACATACAGGAAGGTGTATATTTTGTTAAAAGAAAACAAAATGTTAATTGAGTTTTTGGGAGAAGGGGTGGGATTAAATACGTGTAAACTCCTTCCCACGCCTTTTTGGATGTGTAATTAGGCAGATCATTTGTTTATATATAATTTGTAAGTCAATAATATTTAGTTTATCAATTTGATAAACTGATGATACTGCTTACTTTACTACAGTATCATAAAAGTCTTGTTTCATTTCATTATTATAATTTATTTTTTTGTATTACACGTTCTAAATAAATCAAATCAAATGTGTCTTTGTGCTTGATTACTCAAAAACAACTGTTGGTGTGTTTATGCACCTGGCTGCCAGAGATAAACATGCAGTTTGACCGAGAGGCATTTCTACGGAGCCCTGGCGGGTTCATAGCGAGAAAAATAAATAAAACGAGGCCACGTTTTATTAATTTGTGCGCACGAGATGTGATTTGTGGCCTCAATTTAAATAAAGCGAGGCCACGTTTTATTAATTTGTGCACACGATATACTTTCTCGTTCGCACTAGAAAGTTACCGGTGCGCCAAGTAGGAAGTGGAGCGCACAGGAGACAACCGTTTCATTGCAGACTGTTATGTTTATGTGGGGAAATGACAGTGCATACATTATTTGAGATATATTTCAAACTCGGACTTCATTTTAGGGACATTTCGGCCAGAGGTGTAGAGCCAGCGTTTCGGCCAGGGGGGCGTCTTGCCGTCATTTAACGCCCTTATTCAACTCGGCACGCCCTGAACTCGAGCCGAGGGCGGTCCAAAAATATTAATAATTCGAGAGAAGATTGATGATGTGTAAATAACCCAATTTGTGTTCTGTGAAACTGAAAAGGATATGACATTGTTTTTGTTACTTTCGTTGCAGTTGTATATGTCTTAAATGTAATTTAGGTTAACTTTCTGTTTTATTTAGATGCTTTTATTTTGAAGGAGAGTTTACGCTGTTGACACGAAGTTGTTGTTGCTATGGAAACGGTAAATGCTACATGATGTGTGTGTGTGTGTTCGGTGTATGTGTCCGACACCGGCATTTGTTTTCAAATGACCATGAACAGTAATTTACACACATCTGGCTAACTCCATATGTGTATTCCCAAGTGAAAGAAGTTCGTTTAATCTTAATCTCGATGTAGGCTAGTGCTAAATGCTGTCGGAGTGCACCGGAACGAACGCCACTATCATAATATCTTCTGAAAACAAATGCCCACACATACACACAAACACGCCCTGGCGACCGGACATCTTCTTCATAAAACTAATAATATGGCATAATAATCAGGCAGTTCGATGTGTCTAACCATAAGAAAGTATAGGCCTATCGTACGAACGAGAAAGTATATCGTGCGCCTCGTTTTATTTAAATTGAGGCCACAAATTACATCTTGTGCGCACAAATGAATAAAACGTGGCCTCATTTTATTTATGTTTCTCTCTATGAACCCTCCAGGGCTCCGTACATTTCAGTGGGCGCTGGTATCCTGCTTTTTGGGGTTTCCCCTTTCCTGTTGTGTGTAATTTAGGATTACTAAAGGCTAAAATCCCCAAATCTCCTCCAGAGGGAGTTCCTCTCCCTCACACTTCCCCCCTGCCTGAAATGTCTCAAATAGACTCCTTTGTTTACTTTCTTAAAATAGTGACATCACTATATAAGACTTGCGCTTCTATTGGCTAGCGCTGCAACACATTGTACGTGATTGGCTAAGGGGCGGGGCATCATCTCTTATCGGTTGACCAATCACACCAGAGCCGGTCAGCTAACCAATCAGAGCAGACAGGGCACTGGTTTCAGACAGAGGGTGAAAAGAGGTGCTGCAGCACAGGCAGTATGGGAAAAATAAAGAGCTTTTTGAACATTAAAGCATGAAAACGTGTCAGGCACAAAATACACATGAACATTAGCATAGCCTAACATTAAGCGAATTGTCCACCGCAAAAAAAAAACATGTATTGCTCACTTGGTTCCCCGAAGTTATGTGGTCACTTTATATAGGATCTGAAATACTATTAATGGTATATATTGAAGTAAAGAGGTAAAGAAATGACCCTATTAAACCAGGCTTCATCCATCACATCCAAGCTAATTAATATTTGTCTTTGATTAGTTTTCTCTGTATTTATTGTTTATTAATTCCATCATCCTGCAAAACAATATAATATTAAAAAGCCATGCAATAGATAGATAGATAGAGATAGATATATATACTTTATTAATCCCACATTGGGAAATTCTTTTGTTACAAAACCAGTGTGCTGAACATTAAAATACAAATACTTAATATAGGTATTTATATTAGTATAGAGAGTATCCTGACTGGCTGCATCACGGTCTGGTATACTGCACCACCCTAAATCGTAAGGCTTCACAGAGGGTGGTGAAAACTGCACAGAACATCACCAGGATGGAGCTGCCATCCATGGAGGACCTTTACTCCCAGCGGCTCAGGAAGAAATCCCTCAGGATTATAAAAGACCCCCATCACCCCAGCCACAAACTGTTCAATCTGCTGCCGTCTGGCAGGCGCTACCGCAGCATCCTGACAAGAACAAACAGATTCAGTGACAGCTTCATCCCGCAGGCAATAAGACTGTTAAACAACTGAACTGCTGAAACAATTTCACAACATTCACCTGCTACTTAGTAATTATTTATCTATTATCCATATCATTCCAATAACTTATATATATACACTCGTATTGCACTATTCCACTTTTTTTTCTCACTTTTTTTAAAACTATTTTTCTTTTGTATTACTTTTAGTATAATATACTTTAATATTGCTTTATTGTCTGCTTATCTGTATTATTGTGTTGCATTGTTGGATAAGCCTGTGACCTAAGATTTTCAATGACATAATTACTCTGTAGCTATGTTAGTTTGACAATAAAGAACCTTGAAGTGAAAAAAGTAGTTAACAATTAAAAAAATTGTATAAACAATAGGGTCATAAAGGTTCTTTATCACAAATCCTTTTGGATTACCATTTAAAAATAGTGGATTTTAACTTGTAATTGTTATTGTAGGCCTATTATTATTTATATTAGTAGCCTACTACCACGTGCTTTACTATAATCCCCTCCCCAGTGTCAATTAATTTAGGCCTAATCCACAACTTTAATTGTCAGAATTTCAGCACTGCTAAATAGATTTAAAGTCAAGTGATCCGAACTAACACTGTAATTAAGAATTAGAAAGGGGAGTTAATGGCAAGAGAGAGGGAAGGGAGAGAGATAGAGAAAGAGGGAGAGAAAAAGCGAGAGAGAGAGAGGGTGGGATTAGGCTCGTGCTGCAGGTTACACGGGATTACGGCTCGCGGAGTATTTCCCTGAGTTGCTCGCTCTGGTATGGAAATCTCTGCACGGCATTTCTCTGCCTGAACTGATTTAACACCTTTGATTCTGGGGATAAACAAGCTGTATAGAAACATGGCCGACATCCCTCAACTCGTCAAAATTGGGATTAATATGAAGATGCTCCCTAACAACACGGCGGTGCACTTCAAATCCGATGGTGCCCGGTTCGGACAGACCCGGACCATCAAGCTGCTAACCGGATCCAAATACAAGATCGAAGTGGTCGTTAAACCAGGAGCGGTCCAGGCCACGTAGGTAGCGCTCCTATTCTGTCTGTTTCAGGCGTGGATCATCATGACATGGGCATGGACCAAAATGCCATGTTACATAGATTCATTTAAGGGAACAAACATCATGGTATTTTTACTTTACAAATCTCTTCTGAGAAAAAGCCACGGTGATTATTCAAGGCACATAGGAGTGCCAAAGAAACGTTTACAGTCAATTAGGAGATTGCAGTTTTCCCACGAACCTTCCAAAAATAGAGAATGTTGTTGCATGTTGCAGCCACCTATTGTCCCCTTAATATTATAGCGTGGAATGGAATTAAATGACGGTATTTTAAAAACGTTTGAGCTTCTTACCATTTATCTGTTTTTGTCATATAATTTCCTTTACAAAGGAAAGCATATGTCTGCTTCATTTCCTGACAATTAACACTTAAAGTATTCTGCTTGATAACACAGAGTCTATTTTACACATAGGCTATTAGTTAATGGTAATTACGAGAACAATTTAAAATGAGGATTTCCTTCCATGGAATCTCAGTGGTGACTTTAACAGAATGCATGTGTGGAGTTAAAGGCACCATTCATGGACATTGGGATATATATTCCTTACCTCTCTATATAAAGTGTAAGAAAGAGGTTTTCGTGATTTTAAACTACATTAAAAAAAAACACAAAACCCCTCAAAACACATTTTGTTGTGTACGTATCACAGTCAAATATCTTTGCGATATATTGTCTGACTAAAAGCCATGCACTTGAACGCTCAACAAGTCATTATTCCATGTGTAGCGATCGAAAGTAGAATTTTACACTGTGCACATGAAGGCAACATAAAACCAATTGAATGCACGTCAAATCCACACAGATTAGGATTCCGGGGTTTTGATTGTGTATTATTATTAACATGCTGTGAAACTGCTTGAACACTACGGTGTAAAAATAGGTCACACGTGCAATGATGCAAGGATATTTGATGCATAAAACACAGCTGCAGACATAGCTCACTAAAAGGATTTATCACAATGAAATCTGGAACAAAATTGCATCAGCAAGTAGGCTATGAAGCTTGAAGTATTTATCAGTTTGTGCTTTTAAAATTGCATGTGTAATTTCTTAATACATCCAATCAATGACATTATTTTGAATACATCTTGTCTTTGTTTTATTAAAATTAGAATCTGGTGCTATAACCAGGTTTTCACATACAAGACATTGGCTTGGGTGAAAACCAAAAAATTAATGTTTACAAGAAATATAAATACACACAAATAGAAAAGTACAAAAATAACATAACAAGTTACTGAGAATAAATATGTGCAGTATTTTTGAATGCATTAACATTGACTCACTTGTTTTGAGGATCCATCTTCTGTGCACGGCCTCACATGGACCTTTAATTTAAAGATTAGTCTGATCTGTTGTGTACCTGCAGCTCGATGAGTATCGGTGCGGTGACCTTCCCTCTGGAGAAACAGTCTAAAGACCCCCAGTCCGTCGTCTATAGCGGCCAGTACGACACAGAAGGGGTGACACATACTAAGAGTGGAGAGAGGCAACCAGTTCAGATAAACATACAGGTATGGATATACACAGTGCACCAAACTACTAGGGATGCACCTAAACCTTTATTCGGGTCGATACTCACTCAAATAGCTGGATTGGTTTTGGCGACAATGAGACCAATTAATTTCAATGTTTGTGTATTGCATATAATATACAGTACACTGAAATGTACTTCCTGTTAAAGGCTTAACCAATGTGTTCCTGCATTGAAAAGGATAACACTATAATTGTCACGGTGTGTGAAGCACGCAGGACCCAAATGCAGATTAAAGTGACAATTCCTTTATTTCAAGGCTAAGTGATAACAAAGACGTAACAGAACACTCACCGACGAACTAGTCATGACACAAGACGAACCAACAAAGACAGACAGAAAAACCAGAACTTAAATACACACAAGACTAATCACACAAACAAGACAGGTGAGGAGGGAGGAGAAAACACAGGGGCCACAGGTGAACACAATCGGGTAATCAGACACACCAGGGAAACTAACGACAGGGAACCACAGACAAATCCAAACAAGACACAACGCAGACAGAAACAGGCAAGACAGGAGGTGAAGACCTTTCAAAATAAAACATGAAACAAGACAAGACACCATAAAGACAGATCGTGACAGTACCCCCCCCTCAAGGGACGGATCCCAGACGTCCCAAAAAAACACAAAAGTCCTCAAGCAGGGTGGGTGGAGGGGGTCCGGAGGAGGGACGTATCACTAGGCCACCAGGGTGGGTGGAGGGGGTCAGGAGGACGGGACTGAGCTGACCGCCCAGGAGCACAGCAGAGGACCAGGAAGGGATCTCGGGCGGACGGCCCGGGGGCAAGGCAGAGTTCAAGGAGGGGTTCTCGGGCGGACGGCCCGGGGGGCAAGGCAGAGTTCAAAAAGGGGTATTCGGGCGGACGGCCCGGGGGCAAGGCAGAGTTCAAAAAGGGGGTATTCGAGCGGACGGCCCGGGGGCAAGACAGAGTCCAAGGTGGGGGTTATGGAGGGGCGAAGGCCAATCGCGGGCGAACTCAGGGGGCCGAGCATGAGGGCGAGGGACCGCGGCCGGGAAAAGTCAGGGGGCCGGGCTCGAGGGCGAAGGCCGTGGCTCTCAGGGGGCCGGGATCGAGGGTGAAGACTGCGGCTCTCAGAGGGCCGGGCTCGAGGGCGAAGACCAGACAGCTCCGGAGGCCGGGCAGGAACCGGTGTCGGAGCTGGTGGGACAGGCCTCGGCAGGATCCCCCACGGAAAAGGACCAGGACACGGGATTGGCAGGACACCCGGCAGGAGAGCAGTCGGCGGGACCTCCAACGGGACAGGACATAGGGTTGGCAGGACCCCCGGCAGGAGAGTAGTCGGCGGGGCCTCCAACGGCACAGGACATAGGATTGGCAGGACCCCCGGCAGGAGAGTAGACGGCGGGACCTCCAACGGGACAGGACAAAGGGTTGGCAGGACCCCCGGCAGAAGAGTAGACGGCGGGACCTCCAACGGGACAGGACAAAGGGTTGGCAGGACCCCCGGCAGAAGAGTAGACGGCGGGACCTCCAACGGGACAGGACAAAGGGTTGGCAGGACCCCCGGCAGGAGAGTAGTCGGCGGGGCCTCCAATGGGACAGGACATAGGATTGGCAGGACCCCCGGCAGGAGAGTAGACGGCGGGACCTCCAACGAGACAGGACAAAGGGTTGGCAGGACCCCCGGCAGGAGAGTAGCCGGCGGGGCCTCCAACGGCACAGGACAAAGGGTTGGCAGGACCCCCGGCAGGAGAGTAGTCGGCGGGACCTCCAACGGGACAGTACATGGAGTTGGCAGGACCCCCAGCGGAACCTCCAACGGACCAGGACATTGGGTAGGGACTTGAGACGGGACTCGAGAGGGGACTCGAGAGGGGAACCAAGGGGGAACTCGAGAGGGGACTCGAGAGGAGACTCGAGAGGGGAACTAGAGAGGGGACTAGAGGAGAGACTAGAGGAGGGACTAAAGAAGGGAACTCGAGAGGGGAACTAGAGGAGGGACTAGAGAGGGGACTAAAGGAGGGACTAGAGGAGGGATTAAAGGAGGGAACTCGAGAGGGGACTCGGGTAGGAACTTGAGAGGTGACTAGAGAGGGGACTCGAGAAGGGACTTGAGCGGGGACCTGAGAGGGAACTGGAGAGGGAACTGGAGAGGGAACTGGAGAGGAGACTTGAGAGGGGACTCGAGAAGGGACTCTAGAGGAGACTCGAGAGGGGACTCGAGAGGGAACTCGAGAGGGACTCGAGAGGGGACCCGAGAGGGAACTCGAGAGGGGACCCGAGAGGGAACTCGAGAGGGGACTCGGGAAGGAACTGGAGAGGGGACTTGTGTCGGTCGGTACGCCGACATGACACGGGGAGCTGGCGTCGTCTGGGGAGCCAGCAGGAGACGAGGTGCTGGAGTCGGCCGGTACGCCGAAAAGACTCGGGGAGCTGGCGTCGGCTGGGGAGCCAGCAGGAGACGAGGTGCTGGAGTCGGCCGGTACGCCGACAAGACTCGGGGAGCTGGTGTTGGCTGGAGAGCCAACAGGAGACGAGGTGCTGGAGTCGGCCGGTACGCCGACAAGACTCGGGGAGCTGGCGTCGGCTGGGGAGCCAGCAGAAGACGAGGTGCTGGAGTCGGGACCATGACTGCTGGAGCCGGTACTTGAGCCGGAACCATGGCTGTATGGGCCAGCTCTGATGCAGGGACCACGGTTGTAAGATCCTGGACGCTCCCTTCCACCAATCGAAGCAGCAAGCCAGATAGAAGGTTAAATGCTGTAATTCAACCTCCCATGGATCATCTGCTGGGTCCATTTTGTGGTCGGTTCGTTCTGTCACGGTGTGTGAAGCAGGCAGGACCCAAATGCAGATTAAAGTGACAATTCCTTTATTTCAAGGCTAAGTGATAACAAAGACGTAACAGAACACTCACCGACGAACTAGTCATAACACAAGACGAACCGACAAAGACAGACAGAAAAACCAGAACTTAAATACACACAAGACTAATCACACAAACAAGACACAGGTGAGGAGGGAGGAGAAAACACAGGGGCCACAGGTGAACACAATCGGGTAATCAGACACACCAGGGAAACTAACGACAGGGAACCACAGACAAATCCAAACAAGACACAACGCAGACAGAAACAGGCAAGACATGAGGTGAAGACCTTTCAAAATAAAACATGAAACAAGACAAGACAAAACACCATAAAGACAGATCGTGACAATAATAGTACAACTATATAGAAGTAATTCCGTTTTTTTTTACCAAGTTGTTGGTGTACAATTCAATATTCTAACAATTAACAATACAAATACGGATAGATTTACTGGAATGAAACACTGGTGTTGGATCAGTACCCAGTACAAACCAATGCTGTATGAGGACATTTCAACCTGAGATCCGCTCGTCTTTTAGAGATGTGCATACTAAAAAGAAAACAAATATGTTCTTGTTTTTAGTGTTCAAGTCTCCTCAGCTAGCAGCAATTAACAGATGCTTTAAGCTTCAGTGATGTTTCTTAGTAGCATAACGACAGGATCATTCTTTGTTACAACAAATTATTGCTTCACCTTCATTAAAGTTACATGACTTTCCGGTTTGTGGTGGACGAACAAATATAATGTTTACTGACAACATGCAATCTGCGTTTCAAATGTTTGTTTGAATTTTTATTTACGAGAGATCAAATCTGAAAATTATGGAAGAGGATGGACAATTCAGCATAACTCTCACCACAACAATGAGACATATGTTCCTGTTTGCAATGACAAGGCTCAGTGCAGCCTTTAGACAAAGTGTGTGTGTGTGTGTGTGTGTGTGTGTGTGTGTGTGTGTGTGTGTGTGTGTGTGTGGTCAGTATGCCTCCTCTTCATTTCCCCTTCACATGATGATATAGTGCGAGTCTGTGTGTGTGTGTGTGTGTTTGTTTGTTTATGTGTGTGTGTGTTCCCATCTGTCCACTCTGTATGTCTTGTCATTAGAGCATCAAATGATGCCGCTAAGATGCTGAAAACATTTTGTGCATATGTGTGTGTGTCTTTACTCATCTGTGCATGTGTTTCTCCTCCAGTTCACAGAGGCGGGTCTGTTTGAAACGGTGTGGCAGGTGAAGTACTACAACTACAACAAGAGGGACCACTGCCAGTGGGGAAACAGCTTCAACAGCATCGAGTACGAATGCAAACCCAACGACACGCGCACGCTCATGTGGATCAACAAGGAGATGTTTGTCTGACGGAGGAAGAGCTTCAAATGTTTAGTGTTACTCTGCAAAAACAAAAACGTTATTATCCTTAATGTCATGATGAGGTATTGTCTTACCCAGGGGCGTCGCCTGGACCTGAAAACATTCGGGGCTTAGCCCACAGTGGCGGCGTCATGATGAGGTTCACGTAAAGCACGGTTAATGTATTATATTATTGAGGGAGAATTGTCCGGGGCTACAGAAAAAACATTCGGGGCTAAAGCCCCGGATGCCCAGGCCAGGCGACGCCACTGGTCTTACCTTAAAAGGAAATGCAACCACTCTCCCTTTGTGCCGTAAATATCAAATGTAGTATTTCCACAGGGGTTTATGGTGGTTAATCAAATTTGGCACATTAAAGGTGGGGTAGGTAAGTTTGAGAAACCGGCTCGAGTGCGCTAGAATTTGAAAATACACAACCGTAAAAAATCTGCCACTTCCTTACAGAGCCCCTCCTCCAACACACACGAATGCGCACATGACCAATGAGGGCACGAGATAAGTTTGTGCACAGATGGAATTCTGACAGGCAGGTAGGCCATCCAGTTAGTTTAGCCAGGCCGGCTAAAATGATTGGTCGTGCTTTTTACAGCACTACGGCTTCCACAGATGACATTTTTTTATGTATTTTTTGTCAAAGCACTTCAGATATTCATTGCTATCGGGATGTTAAGAGCATTCCATGGAATATAACAAAAAGTGTATCTCGAGCCGGTTTCTCAAACTTACCTACCCCACTTCTCTTCTCTTATTAAAATGAAACATGTAGCAATTCTCAACTACCTACAATTTTAATTCCGTTTTGGAAGACTAAATGACATTTTAAGAAAAATATTTGTATATGCCGTTCCAGTTATGGCATGTGGTTATCCTGAGGTGTGTTCAAATGTGCAGAACTGTATGTGTGTCAGTGCACGTGTGCCTGTGTGTTTAGCTACAATACGTGTGTGTAACAAGACGGTGCTTGTACAAGTTAATGTACTTTTACGTGTAAGAGATTCATTCCAGAATCACTTTCCAAAGAGATCCAGAAGTGTTCTCCTTTGCCACTGACTGCACATGGATTAATCAAAAAAGGGACCATAGTGTTTTGGAATGAAACCCTCTGCAGCTGTGTGTATGAGTATTCTCTTGTGGTACTATTTTGTGTACTATATGATACAGTGTTGGATGTAGGAATTTGGGTGAAGTCGTGCTCCTATTTACAGTGTGTTGTTTTCTCTACCTCTTCTGAAGGACCTAGCCATAATAATGAATTGTTTATTCAAGCTAAATAATTTATTTGGAATACTCAAAACGTACAACATAATGACATTTCAGAATATATATTTTTAGTCGTTACTTGTATTTTGGAAAATGTTGTACAGTGGAATATTTAAAAGTGTTTTCATATTATTGTTTGTATATTGGTAAAAAATAACTACATTATTTTTCTTTAAAATATTGAAATGACCTATGCAAGAAACCAGAGCAACAGACATGATGAAATGGTCCAATAGTGGTGAAAATTAAATGTTACTGACCTTTTTGTGAAATTGCTGTTTATAATGGTATCAGTAAAATTGAAAATCTTTTGTGTGGAAAATGTATTTATTTGGACTGATTCATCGTAAACCTGCTGTAAACTACATCAGATTTAGATCAGGAACACAGGTACTTACAACTCAAGAAACAAGTATTGTAAACCACTACAACAAATGAAAACTATGTAAATGTATTACAAAAACACTACAGAAAGATGCAACTTGACAGGAAGGGAAAAGTCCAATAAAGCATGTTGATAAAAAGGTCAATCACAGCAGTTAGACGTTAATCGCACTGACAAAACAATGAGATGTTCTGAAAACTCAAAACAACAAAATGAGCAGTTTAGCTAACAGAAATTCCATTGTTGAGGTCTACTAGAATAGATTTACATTGTTCAATGCTCCAAAATCACATTGGTTTCTCATACAGCATCTCTGTATAATATGTGTATTCACTCTTTGTCCTATACTCCTTGTTGGAGCTCATGCATCCCCCCTCCCTGCTTTAACCTCTTAAGCCCCAAGCCTGTTTTTCAGGTTTCAGGCTCGAAAATGACATGCCCAAAACAAAGGACTATAACTTAACTTCTAAAAGGGTTATATGAATAATTTCTTTTATCAAAGCAAGGTCACATCTGTGAGTTGGATGTAGAAGTGTCAGAATCAATAAAGATGTTTCAGTGTCAGAGTAAATCCAGATGGAACATAGTCAAAAAGTGTACATTTTGTCTCCGCCCAAATAAAACCCATTACTTATAGTGAAAACCACCCTTGAATGATGGGTTAGTAGCCTAAAAGCTTTAGGAATCCAAAGTATAACATATAATAAGTACCCTGTATCAAGATTGAGGCAAAACAAGTGAGAATTGACCTTTTTAGAGAGATTTAGCAAAAAAAAGTCCAAGCGGACTAAGCTTTGGGTACATTTGGTTCCATCAGTGCCATTTAACCTTTTTCAGGTACCAGACTGTAAAAATCATTGTACAACATTTAATTATCACTATAGGTATTCATTCCAAAAAAAAAAAAAAAATTAAGTGGGTGTGTGTGTGTGTGGAGTGTGTGTGTGTGGTGTGTGTGGGAAGTTCCCTCTTTGCATGAGATGCATGTTACTTGCACAATAAAAATGAGGAAACTTAGGAAACATTTGACTCCAACTGGAGCAGATTTATTAAAAAAAATTAGCAACACACTATACAACAAGCATTTTTTGGGTAAAAAAACAAACTTTATACAAACCCTGAATGTTACAGTATTACTCCAGTAAGTCATGCCATGCCCTGTAAAAGTTATTTTTGGTAGTGAAGCACAGAGGGACCTGACACTTCCTGCAGTACACAGGTGTCTTCACTCTTCAGTTGCCAGCATCAGAGCACCTCCTGACCTTGGTGGCATCTTCCCCATAATACTCGGGCATCCAGAAGCCATATCCTCATCGCCTTCCTCACTGTGAAAACAAATGTGGAAAAAACAAATAGATTAATTCTCTGGCTTGTACTTTCAAAAATGTAACTCAAATCAGAAATAATTTCTCTACAACAACAGCAGAACATCAATTTTGAGTGTGTGAAATAACATTATATCACTCAAAATGTATACCGTGTAAATTATGTGAGACGGGGTTCATATAATCTGTTCAATATTTAATATTCATATTCTGTCTGTCATATATATGTGTGTATATATATATATATATGTGTATGTATATATATATATATGTATATATATATATAGATATGCATGTATATATATATATATATGTGTATGTATATATATGTATGTATATGTATGTATGTATATATATGTATGTATATATATATGTATGTATGTATATATATGTGTGTATGTATATATATGTATATATATATGTGTGTATGTATATATATATATGTGTGTATGTATGTATGTATATATATATATGTGTATGTATATATATATATATATATATATATACGTGTGTATGTATATATATATATATATATATATATATGCGTGTGTGTATATATATAGTTGTAAGTCACTTTGGATAAAAGCGTCAGCTAAATGAAATGTAATACTGTATTAAATTCAACATGTCTTGTTTATTTCAACAACAAGAACAAGAAACGGCATCCATCTTCTTTGTTGTTGTTGAGTGTGTGAAAGAACATTATATCACAAGATGGATGCCGTCGTGTTATTGTCACGTGTGTGAAATTACTAGATGAATACACTCTTACACCAAATAAATAACAAAAAGATAAAAACAGATGAATACTCTTACACCAAATAAATAAGTAATAGATACAAACAGAGAGATTACCTTTCCGGTGACGGAGGTTCATAATCAGAGTCATTACTGTCCCCTTCGTGCGTGACGAGATCACTATCTTCCGACGGAGAGTCCTGAAATACGATGTCCAATGCCTCCTCGACGGACAAAAAAGTCTTCTTTCTGGCTGCCATTGCTACAATGAAGACAAAGAAAACAAATCCTGCTGTTTCGCTGATATATCTGCCCTTCTCTGCTCTCCTGTCGCCGTGGGACATGCTATGCTACGCTATAGCCTAGTATGCAGCGTACAAAGACTGGGTCGTGTGTAAATCAGCTGATACTGCCTTAATTTATACTTACGCAAACTCCTATCTCTGGAACCCATTGGTCGATTTGGGTGATTGACACCTTTTTTGAATCGTTAGAGCCAATCGAATCGAGTAGCAGTTTCAAATTACGTAAATACGTCATGCCTGCGGAGGGGGAGCTATGCGTAAAAAGCAGCTCCCGCAGCTGAATCCACGGACTGTTAATCGTTGGACCTACTCTTCTGACGTGAATGAAAGGATTGATTCTCAGTAATCATTTTAAAGTGACAAGAGACATTGGATTAACCCTGAGCAGCGTTTTTATTCCTTTGAACACAACTTTTGATCACAAAACAGCCAAGGTAAAACCTAATTATTGTCAGGGATTTGAAAACTGATATTGTTTACTTGCTATGTTGTGGCTGCCAGCTCGGTTAATGTTGTGCCTGTAGTGATGGGGTGTACACCCATGGAATCTGTGGAATCTCAGCTTTCAGAAAATGTGTTGTTTGTGCGGAAAGGATGAATTATAAATGATCGTTTTTGTGAGTTATGAGCAGACATAGCAATTGCCCGTTTTTGACATGGGGTCATTTAGAGGCTTCTTGTGAGACTTCATTTTGGAATTTTTTTTTTCTTTTTCGTATCGTCAGTAAGCCAAGTTTCCTCCGGTCAGATGGGTATGGAGTATTAATAGTTTCATGAATGACACTTCAGATATAGCACTGTTGCTACATATATAGCATTTTCGGACCCGAGCTCGGGTCCGTGGGGCTTAAGAGGTTAAGAAAGACCATAGACTGTATATATATAAATGGACGTAGGGTCCGTGACGTCACCCATAGGATTCTGCAGTTGCCGTGAAGCCCTTAGTAGGCGGAGTCGGCCACTAACGGCTCGACAGTGACGCCAGAGTTCAACTCCCGCCTGCTCCAAATAAGGGCAAAGAGGCGGAGCCGAGGCGGGACCTGCTGCCACCGAGCTGGAAG